CCAGAAACCTAAGAACAATGTGGTTTAGTGTGTGTGTGTGTGTGTGTGAGAGGGAGAGAGAGGAGCAAACGTGCGTTAAGCATGGAAAGGAGTGAAGGACAAGGGTGAGGAATAAGGAGGATGTTTTGAGGCCTTAAGAGAGAGAAAGGGAAAGTGTAAAACAACAGGCAGTGAGCCAAAAACGTTCCTTGATTTCCATACAGGCTTCCCCACTTGTCACTCTGCTACGTTACTGGCTAATCTTCATCTGCCACATCTCTTAAATAACCAGTCCCCTAATTCTTTTTCTGAAAAGAAAAAAACATTATATTTTTGGATTTTTTTTTTTAAACTATAAGTGGTGCTCATGCAGATGCCCAACATGTCGTTTGATTACATGATTTTAGTTTCATTAGGACTTAATTTTGTCTTGTTATCATTGCTAACTAATGTGATGGATAGAGGGATTGTCTTTCTTTTTTTTCTTATTATTTTATTTATGAACTTATTGCTTTTTCTTTTTGTGGTTTGGTTTTATGTTGTTAACTTTCTGCTCTTCTTTTTTATTTGCTGTTGAGGACCTTTTTTGCTTTCCTGTCGGGTTGTTTAACTTTTGTTCTTGATTTTGTCAAGCGAGACCAAATGCCACGACGACCAAATTTCAGCGCCACGCGCGCACCACAGATAGATAGATTTCGGCTTATCCTGCATTTATTTTTATTTTATTTATGAGAACTATTTACAACAAGCAAAGCCCAACACTTTCCTTTTCTTATTAGTTTTATATGGCCCAGATTTTAATTGGGCTGTCTCTAAAGGTCCAAACGTGTTTCATTAATTTGAAAACAATAACGCTTAAATACCAAATTAGTATAGTAGATGATATTGTAATGTTTTCATTAATTTTATATATAAAAAAATCAGTTAATTCCCTCCAAAAAAAAATTAGTTGGGTTTCATCAATGATTTGGTATCTTATTAGTTTAATGCCATTAAATAGTGCCAATTTCATAACTACTCATTAATTTCCCTTTCTTCTACTCAAGATCTGGGCTACACTTTTCTTAGGGCCCTTCTCCATGGGAGGATTTAGCCGGAAAAACTTATAATGAGGAGTTTGAAGTGAGGAAGCTATTTGAGGAGGTCAACTTCATCATCAACAAATGTAAAGAAATCATGGGACTTAAACATTTTAAATATTTTAATGATGGAATTGGCCTCATCAAATAGTCTTTCACTTTAAACTCCTTATTGTAGCCTCTCCCGGATCTAACCACACCATGTTGGAGTTCTTTGTTATTTTTGGGCTTTGCCCCATTTTACCTAGCTACTATAAGTTTTAAAAAGACTATTACAAGCAATAATTTTATATATAAAAAAATCAGTTAATTCCCTCCAAAAAAAAAAATAGTTGGGTTTCATCAATGATTTGGTATCTTATTAGTTTAATGCCATTAAATAGTGCCAATTTCATAACTACTCATTAATTTCCCTTTCTTCTACTCAAGATCTGGGCTACACTTTTCTTAGGGCCCTTCTCCATGGGAGGATTTAGCCGGAAAAACTTATAATGAGGAGTTTGAAGTGAGGAAGCTATTTGAGGAGGTCAACTTCATCATCAACAAATGTAAAGAAATCATGGGACTTAAACATTTTAAATATTTTAATGATGGAATTGGCCTCATCAAATAGTCTTTCACTTTAAACTCCTTATTGTAGCCTCTCCCGGATCTAACCACACCATGTTGGAGTTCGTTTGTTATTTTTGGGCTTTGCCCCATTTTACCTAGCTACTATAAGTTTTAAAAAGACTATTACAATGAGGATCCTCTGCGAATTCTTAAACCATACAAATCAATCTTTCTTTCTTATTTTTTAAATACAATCAATAGTCTAAACTACAATGGTTTGTTTGATAGGGAAGACTAGACTAGACTAGCAAAATGCCTACATTTCATGTGCATTCAAGGCATAATATGGATATTGTTGTCTAACTTTGAGGATGAAGGGGGACTATTTATAAGAGGTTGATGACTAAAACTTATCCCCCTAATCCGCTTGAAAATTGTGGAATTAAGAGGGATATGTTTTAGTCATCAACCTCTTGTGAATAGTCCTCCTTAATCCTCCAAGTTAGACAACAATATTCATTTTATGTCTTGAATGTACATGAAATGTAGGCATATTTTGCTAGTCTATGCTAGTCCTTCCTAACAAACGACGCCTTGGGGAGGAGGGTTTCTTACACACACATTAGAGCATTTCCAGCAGTCAAACCCTTGCCATGGCAAGGGGGGGCTAGGGCTGACACTATTCATGTGAATAGTGGCTGCCCTTGCCTTTTTTAGCTATGTGTGTTTCCAGCAATCAAACCCTTGCCATGGCAACTACTATTCATTTTTTTATTTTTTTCACAACTTTTTTTACTTAAACAATTATTTTGGATAATATTTTCAGGTAAGATTTTTGGGTTCCTACGTGTCAATACTATTCATATCAGATAAGATTTTCGGTATTTTTTTAAAAGTGAAGAGTATTTGTTGGTATTTATAGAAAATAAATTCAGTATTAGCAGTCAAACCCTTGCCATGGCAACTACTATTCATTTTTTTGTTTTTTTCACAACTTTTTTTACTTAAAAAATTATTTTGGATAATATTTTCGGGTAAGATTTTTGGGTTCCTACGTGTCAATACTATTCATATCAGATAAGATTTTCGGTATTTTTTTAAAAGTGAAGAGTATTTGTTGGTATTTATAGAAATTAAACTCAGTATTTTTTTGGAATTTTTAAAACATTTTTTCAATTTTTTATTGCACAAAAAATCGTCGCCGTTGGATTGCTGGAAAAAATCGAATCGGAGAGCCCAGCAGCAGCCACGTGGCAGAGAGTACTGTGCGCGGCACTGTAGCGGTAATGTAGCGCTGACGTCATCAATGACGTCAGCTTGCCCGAGTTTTGGACCTGGGGCTAGACTTGCCCTCGGGCCAACCTAGTTCGCTGGGTCCCACTGCTTGCCTGGGCTGGGTTTTGTTGCTGGAAATAGGTTTTTGGGCTTCCCCACCCACCCCAGCCCTCCCCTTGCCCTCCCTGCTGAAAATGCTCTTACCATGATGTCATGGGGGTTTGAACTTGAGACAACTGGCTTGCAAGTGTTGGCTACAAATCAATCTTTAATCTAAGCATAATACAACTAGAAAAATTAGAAACCCAAATATAAGGATGATCATAAAATGTCTAAGATTGACTAAACTATAGCTACCATATTGGATTCTCTGTATGTTGACTAGAAACGAATTGGAATTGAGTGAAAATGCCAATACCTTGAACAGTGGTTCGAAGTCGCAATTTGAATATCTTTGTTGAGTATTTTAATGAGAATTTGTGGATCTCCTTCAATCTCAATCCTCCAGAAACATGCTCTAAAAAAAAAAAACTATATTATATATGAGCTCGACTAAGGAGATGATGAGCAAACAACATGCATGCAACTGCTCCTGCAAGCAGCGCGGTGTTCAAGGCAATTGGTGCAATTCCAAAATCATCAATCATCGCCTGCTATATTATATGTGTTTGCTCAAAACCCGTCAGCAAGCTCATGATTTATGATGATTTCATGAATCATAAACAATTTTGAGACACATGGAGATCCAAAATGACAAATCATATCCGATAAGTTCCCTGCATGCTGCAGAAACTCTGCTCAATTTCATCCTCAAATTATTATAAGTCTCTCTTTTGTGTATGCTCAAATTTTGTGCAGATTAATTACAAGTCTTGCTTTCGTGCTAGTTTAAGCCGCAAGGGAGAGATTACGATAACTGAAGGGTTCGATTCCTTATATAACAGTAAGAAGAAGGAAAAAAATGAAATTTGATGATGAGGGTGTGGAATTAAGATGTAGGGTGTCTCGCAGCTGAATTTGAAACATGTGACGAAACAGGATTCTTATGGTCTAAACTGAGGGAGACAAAAGCCTACAGATTCACATGGACTGTGTACAATTGGGCCTCTTGTACTAGATATATATATATAACTCACTCCGTAAGAAGGCAGGCTGGGGTTAATGCAGTCGAACGCTCTGCGCTTTGGAAAGCAAAGCAAAGCATATATGCCTGAAAGGTTGTTGTACGAAAGTCCCGAGGTTTTTTTGATGAAATTTAACTATTATTACAGCAGGTAACATATATTATTATTATTTATATAGTTTGGCTAATCAGTGGTTGACTGTTGTAACTTTTATTTGATTAATTAATTTGATATGATCAATTCGGTCTCCTGAACACCAACCTGTGGCCATTCAAATTCCTATCAAATTCTGTTAAAGCAAATGATGCATTAGATCATGACAGTACTTCTATGGTGTATAACTTAAAATATATATATATATATATATATATATATATATATATATATATATATATAGTAAAGTGGCTCATTGTAGTTACCATTGCTCTCACTTGTAGTATCGCTTAAGTTAAATACGTAGCATAACATATATTGGGTGACGTGATCATTGGACTTGACACATGAATATGAATAGTTTGCTCTAATACCAATTGATTGTGGATGGAGAGATAACTCAATATCATTTAAATTATTAATATATTTTAATTTCCCGACATGAGACAATACTCTCAATATTTCATTTAAATATTTATTTTGAAAAATTGTTCTAATCTAGATGTGGTCAATTAATTAGTAATGTTACTCCCAAATGCTTGTTTTGTTCATTCACAGAGCAATTCCATATATAGAAATTGTTTTATATTACTACATCATGATTCCAAAGCAACAACAACAGTTTTTTTATTTTTTTTAAAAATGAAAATTTGCAGGGAGAGAATCCTTTTGATCTTATTTCATATCTCCCATATGCTGCATGCCAGAGCTGGAAATCCACTCACTTAGCACATGTACATGTATATCTTAATTTAAATTAAATCTTTTAGCACTACTCTTAATATGATCCAACCCAGCAAACTAATATAATTAGCACATAATCCACTAAAGTATGGGATATAGAAACTTGAAAGTGTATTATTCAGAGGCAATCAATTCCCCTTACTGGTTTTCAGCCCAACTGATGAAATTGATGAAGCATAAATATTGAACTCTGTACATCAATCAAAATCTACAGCCAAAACTTGAAAATTAATAATTAAAACTCATAGGAAAATTTCCTAATTGTTTACTTGATTACTTGTCTGATCATTGAGCCTTGGCAGAACTGGATAATGGGTGCTTGAGAATAACCTGAAGCGGTTGGTTCAATTAATTAAAATGGTGCTGCTCAGGCCATGGCCAATAGCCTTGCTGCTGCTCTTGATCAATTCCATTGAACATGCTGCACAAGTTTTCATCTTGAATCATTTGATCAACTTTGAGGCACTGAAGATCTGATCTTGATGAGCCTTGGAGGAGTTGGGTTATGCTTGTAGGCCTGAGGGAGGATTGGAAGAGGTTTTTTCCATTTATCTGCTGGGAATTAGATGGTGAGCTGTTGGTTGTTGCTGGTGTTCTTGAAATGTCTAGGTTGAGATGATGATGATGATGATGATCTGAACTGTTCTCACTTCCATTGCTCCAAGAACCCTGATCAGTTTCTTTCTTGAGATTATTATTAAGCCCAGCATCATTTGAATCCTTGCTTTTCATAGCCACTAACTGCAGCATTAGTTTGAACCCAAGCAATCAAGATTAAGTATGAAATTATGATATTAAAAACTGATGATGATCACTCTCAGATGCAAGTTCTTCCGTTTCCAACCAATTAATGAAAAACAAAAATGGGACTTTCTGAATATCAAACATATAAACATTAAAAAATTGCAAGCAGGTAAGCAACTAACTAAGATTAATTAAAATACTTTTGTTCATCAGATGCGCATCTGACAGACTGACTGACACTGATTAAGAGAAATTAGGGAATATTACAATGACTTTTGGTAGTAATTATATATTTATGTGCATTGGATCAAGAGCTCCGGGAGCCACTGGAATTAAGATGTCCTAGTAATCATAATGCACCATAATCCATGCTGATGCTATGGATATTGTTTATAATACCTAGTTAATTAATTAAATTCTGAAAAATTAATTAACATTCTAGCTACTTCAAACTGATCTTGTGTAAATCCCAGGAGAACCAAGAGGGAGGAAGGAAGGAAGAAGAAAACCAATCTGCAGTGGAAGGAACTGTATGAAAACTTACCTCAGCCTGAAGCTTGTTATTGTGAGCCTGAAGAACATCATTGTCAGCCTTAAGTGCATCAAACTTTTTCTTCAAGACATCATAGTCTTTCTCCAATTGCTTGGTCTTCCACCTGGCCCTCCTGTTCTGAAACCATATGGCAATCTGTCTAGGCTGCAGACCAAGAGCCTTGGCCAGTTGCATTTTTCTCTCAGGTTCAAGCTTGTTCCCCATCTCAAAGCTCTTCTCAAGAGTCTTAACCTGCTCAAGATTCAGCCTTTTCTTCTTCTCACCAATCTGGGATCCATCATCAGACAAATAATCCTCTCCTCCTCCATGCAGTCCTACTTCTTCATGATGATGGCACTTATTGTTCTCAACACCTGAAAATGACAGTGATCTCTTCATCATAAAAGGCACTCCACCGCCTGCAAGACCCCACACCAAACCACACAAATAATTAATTACACAAATAAAAAGAACCCATGATTTGCTTCCAAAGTATATGAAAATAAAAATGAAAAAGAGAGAGAAAGAGAGAGAGGGAGAGAGAAGAGAGACCATGGAAGTGCTGAGGTGGGCAAGAGGGAAGGTTGTTGAGGGAGGAGGAATTAGCAAGGTGGAGGTCTGGATCTTCATGGGTTTGGAACATGAAACTATGACAAGGTGGGAAGGCCATCATGTCAATGGTATGAATTCATGCAGCAAAAGAATGATGTGCTTGCTTCCTAATAGGCTAATAGGTACTCTCTGCTTTTTGACACAAATTTTATAAGGGAAGGGCTTTACATTATGTTCTGGCTCTCACTCTCATGGTGACAGGGCTTTCAGAAGGACAAGGGGATGGGTGAGATGGATGCACAGACTGAAAGACAGCGATTTTTAGGTGAGAGAGAGAGAGAGAGAGAGAGATCCCTATCCTAGGATGGGTCCACGAAAGCTCTCCCTCTAATATTATACACAAGCTCCTCTCTCTCTCTCTCTCTCAATATACTAAGAAAGAAAATCATCAGCTGGGGTTAATTATTTTTAAAAACGCCCAGAAAACAATGCCACAGACCAAAAGAGAATAATAAAAAATAATGGAAAAGAAATTAATTAACTGGAATTATTGTAAAGCAAAGAGATTAATTAATGGGAAGATTATTAGTGGAAAAACAGGGCAACATGAAATGAAAACCTACATGAAAAATCAAATACTTCCCTCCCACATGCATCGAAAGATCACATCATGTGTGACGAGGAAACTAGGCAACATGAAAACGCAGAATCCAAGGAGAGAAATAGTGGAAAACACAAATAGCTAACATTCATCTTCTTCGTGGACCTTGCATTATCAAATTAATTAATTAAAATTAATTTCGGGGTTCTGGCATTTGCTGTAGAATTTTGGTTATTTTGGTATCAAAGTTATGTAATATTATATATGAGCTGTTCTTGTGTCACCTCGGGATTTGAAACATAGTTACTATAACAATTCATTTTAGCATGGTATATTTGTATAAAAGCCAACAAGTTTTAACCTCAAATGGATACATGGTAGATATTTTAGTAATAAATAAGTAGAGGCAGTGGATAAATAAATAGGCTCATATGCTTTGCCTGTAAGAAACACTAATCTGCCTAGGGTAATTATCTTAATTTGTAGACCTATTAAATTATGAGATTCCATGTTGGTTGAAATTAGGGCATCTCTCCCACTCCTTAGCCCCCTCAACCTCAAGTTTGAAAGCTTAGCATATAGGCCTTCAAAAGGGCAATGGATGGGATTTGTATGTGTCATTTAAGACCTACAACTACAAGTTTGAGAGTATGTATCTATATTAAAGGAGAGATGAATCGAAACTAAGACCTTAGGTGTATGTGTAAATACTCTTAACCACTTAAGTTATAAATCTCGTCTTTTTTGTTTTTCGGGGAGGGCAGAAAGTGGGGGATAAATAATTAAATAGGCAATTGGGGTGGGTTTTGTGGGGCCAAGAAAGTGGAGCCTACAGATGTACAGCATTGGGCTGGCCTACAACAAAGCTCCTCTTACAATCACATGCCTTTATTTGAAGTTTAGAGGGTACCCCCCCTTGGGAGTAGGGTGGATCCATGTTATTCCTTTGTTGCTCACTTCAAAAATAAATTAAAGAAAGTGGCTCTGAATCTTCCCCACATGGCCTCCTGTTTCCATGTGCCCTGCTTCAACTTCCCTTCCTCTCTTCTCTTCTTTCGTTGTGATGGGGATTCTTCAACCATCATGTTGTTTAGTTTAATGCTGCAAATATGTTAACTTGTGGTGCTTCTTCTATTCTCCAACCCATGAAATATTAATTTATTGCTCATGTTTGTATACACTATACTCTCTCTCTCTCTCTCTCTCTCTCTCAATTGTTCACTACTGGTTCTGGATTACACAAACGTATTAATCATATCATTGAGTCTGATGGGACCCTTCCATCCAATGTCACAAAAAGGAGAAAAGGAAAAAAAAAGACTTGATCAGTTGGCATCACAACAAGGGTATCCAAGTGAATTCAACCTAAACAGATGGGGGTATCCCTAGATGGGAAAGAAAAATAGACATATTTGAAAGCTTATTCTGATTTTGCATCCACTAATTAAAACCAACATGAGAGAGAGAGAGAGAGAGAGAGAGAGAGAGAGAGAGAGAGAGAGAGAACCAGTATAACAACACAACTTGGAAAAATACGGAAAAAGTAGATTATTCTATTTTCTTTAAAAGAAAATTGATAATTAATGCACAGGACCAGAATTGGATTTGACTGCATGTATAGGAAGATTTTGAGATTCCATAAGAGGCTGAATCTTCTGGTTTCCATGGGGGTCAAGAAAAATTTCAGGTACATCATCTTCACAAAACAATGTGCAAAGAATTAAAATGTAATTCTATTACAAAAGAAAATTAAGATGAAACCAATTCCATTCCACTAGAGAAGGCCAAACATATTTTAGTCCATCTAAATATGCTTTTATAAACAAAAGATTCAGGGGCTTAGTCAAGTTGATTAGAGCCGATATACTCCCCATTCTGCACTCGAGTTCGAATTCCCCTCCACGTAATCTAGATTACATTAAAGTAGAATATCATTTATATATATAAAAAATAAAATCAAAATATTCAGAGCGGGCTAGCTAGAAGAAAAACAAATTAAAACTCAAAAATTAGAACAGGCCCAGGCCCGAGTATCAGTTTGAACATTTCTTGTTTTGGTAAAACGTTTTGGCCTCATTATAGCATTTCCTTATTTACGAGCATTTTACATCATATATTGGGCTAGCATCAATCTAGCCTAGAATTGTAGAATTATCCCTAAAATCACCTAATTAAAAGCCCAGCTATACCAGGCTTCACGTGGGCTGGTCTAAAGCTTATCTTGATGGCCAACCAAAACTGATAACTCCCCCAAAAAAAAAAAAAAAAACCCATACCAACAGTAATATTAGAAATTTTTAAAAATACAAATGATATTTTACTTTAATCTAATCTAAATTATGAAAAGAGGGATTCGAACTTAGGTGCAGAGCATATCCGCTCTAGCCAACTTGGCTAAAACCATATTTGCTTCTTTAATTTTTTTAATTATTTTGTTAAAGATAAATTGAGTTAGTCTCCCAAAAATTTATTGAGTAAACAGTTGGTTTGATTGTGATCTCAAAAATTAGATCAACTAGATAACCTCAGCCGTCCGATCTAGCTCCAAAATGTCTACCCCGAAATTAAATTTTCCCCAAAAACACATTATAAAATATTTTATTATCAGGCCTTGGTTACTAGGAGGATAGTGGAAGCCATGAACTTAAACAAGAAGCACAAGTCGGCAGACAAACATTCCATCCAAGAAGCCACTCACCCACTCCATGATTTCAAACCCACAAAACGTGGCCAAGTTCACTAATTTAATCATTATGGCTAATTAATTATGATTCTTTCTTTCGAAATGCGTTTACTATTTTAATCATTTTTTGATATTCTCGGACTTATAAATTGTTTATCCAAACTCCCCTATTTTTTTCTTCCCTCTATTTATGTTTAATGGGAGTGTCATGCACATCAATTGCGTGTTGTTGCTAGCATCAAGTAATGTTCGTTCGCCTTATTAGAAATTGTTCGTGTTTATTGAAGAACGAATAAGGAATAATGTTGTTAAAAGTCTATTAATAATATGTCAGTACGTTTTTTTAATGAAAATAATATCGACACATTATTGATATTTTATTTTTAAATAAAAAACGGACGTACTTAATAGTACTGGATCCGGATCCTCTGCTCTGATTTTCTCTGCCATGATCTGCTATACTTTTGTTCTCCATACGCTACATCCCAAAAAAAAAAAAAAAAACCCATACCAACAGTAATATTAGAAATTTTTAAAAATACAAATGATATTTTACTTTAATCTAATCTAAATTATGAAAAGAGGGATTCGAACTTAGGTGCAGAGCATATCCGCTCTAGCCAACTTGGCTAAAACCATATTTGCTTCTTTAATTTTTTTAATTATTTTGTTAAAGATAAATTGAGTTAGTCTCCCAAAAATTTATTGAGTAAACAGTTGGTTTGATTGTGATCTCAAAAATTAGATCAACTAGATAACCTCAGCCGTCCGATCTAGCTCCAAAATGTCTACCCCGAAATTAAATTTTCCCCAAAAACACATTATAAAATATTTTATTATCAGGCCTTGGTTACTAGGAGGATAGTGGAAGCCATGAACTTAAACAAGAAGCACAAGTCGGCAGACAAACATTCCATCCAAGAAGCCACTCACCCACTCCATGATTTCAAACCCACAAAACGTGGCCAAGTTCACTAATTTAATCATTATGGCTAATTAATTATGATTCTTTCTTTCGAAATGCGTTTACTATTTTAATCATTTTTTGATATTCTCGGACTTATAAATTGTTTATCCAAACTCCCCTATTTTTTTCTTCCCTCTATGTATGTTTAATGGGAGTGTCATGCACATCAATTGCGTGTTGTTGCTAGCATCAAGTAATGTTCGCCTTATTAGAAATTGTTCGTGTTTATTGAAGAACGAATACGGAATAATGTTGTTAAAAGTCTATTAATAATATGTCAGTACGTTTTTTTAATGAAAATAATATCGACACATTATTGATATTTCATTTTTAAATAAAAAACGGACGTACTTAATAGTACTAGTCATCTTACTGTTCCGGTGGGTACCAAAACCTTAGCTTTTAATTTAATTTTGAAGCATAATGAACTGCTACCTTGTTCGGTTGCAGCCATTATGAAAAGCGATTAGGTTACAAATTTATACTCGATTGGCAAAACTGGGGTGTTGGCAACTGCAAAGAAAAGTGTCCACGTGCCATCACATGGACGGTGTAATAATTAGAGCCAATCCCCATGCACTGGTCCTTGCTGTAAAATTAAAACAAATTCCCTCGCAATTGATTAAGGTGATATCATTATCATTTCTTATTCATTTATGCAATCTCGTTAGGTACCATTTGGTTTATAGAAATAATTTGAGGGGAAATTATTTCTCATTTCATTTTCTAAACGATAGGAAATGGAGATTCACTTTCTATGCTTGGCAATCTTGAAAAAGTAACCAAGAAATACCACTTTATTTTGTTTCACATGTTTGGTTTGTGTATGAATGTAAAACAAAGTTTGTTTAATTTTTCAATTATATCCATATGAAATCAAATGAAAAAAGAATGTATTTAATGCTATATTGTAATTCTAAATTGTTAATGGGGACAATATGGTCATTAAAAATGTGTATATAATGTTAGCTCATTTTCCCAAACTTTCCCATGAGGAGTAAAACAAAACTCAAGAGGGGAGGAGGGCTTCACTTTCCCCATACTTTCCCATGTGCAAGGCAACGATTTCTCATGCCTGAACTTAACAAACATGGTAAAATAATTGATTTTCCATCCCTAAGCA